AGCGTGCGCCGGGCAGTGCGGGGCAAGGCACACAGAGGGAGGCAGCAGTGCGGGAGGCAGCAGTGCCGGAGGGGATGGGGGGCAGCAGGCGCGGCAGGTCGGGTGGTTGGGGCGGGGTGCGCCGCAGCAGCTTGGTGGTGGCAGTGGCCAGGGCGGGCATGCGGGGCAAGGCGGGCAGCCATGGTGGCAGCGTGCAGCCGACCAAGGAGACAGTGGCAGCAGTGGGTGGGGCACGGGATGGGCGAGGCGCTCCCCGCCCATCCTGCCTGCCCCACCCCGCCCTGCCCACCGCAGCAGGAGAGGTGTGGGGGGACAGGAGAGGTGGTGTGGGAGGAGGAAAGCCCACAGGAAGTCTTGCAGGAATATTCCTGCAACAGGTCGCTAGTTAATTCATAAACATCTAGTAAAAAATGGTTAGAAATGCCCTAACTAGCTTGGCTCAGTGGATAGAACGTTGGCCAGCAGACTGGAAGGTCCCAGGTTTGATTCCGGTCAAAGTCATGTACCTTGGTTGTGGGCACATCCGGGGTTGCAGGAGGCACTGATCAATGTTTCTCTCTCATCCATGTTTCTCTTTATCCCCTCTCCCTTTCCCTCTGTAAAAAAAATCAATAAAATATATTTTTTAAAAATGGTTAGAAATAATAAGAGAGTTTGCCAACATCACTAAAGTCAAGCTATATATAGCAAATCCAGGGTCATTTTTTACAAACTATGGACAACCACTTAGAACACATTATTAAAAATTATACCAGCAAAATCCATAGTATCTTTGAATAACTCTAAGAAACATACCAAATTTTAATAGAAGACACTGTAAAATTTTATTGAAAAAACATTAAAGAAGAGCTACATAGAAATGCATACTGTCATAAAAAGCAAGATTAAATATCTTGAAATTGTCTCCAAATTAATGTATAAATTCAGTGCAGTTAAAACTCCTATAAGGTCTATCTCTGAGTGTGTCTGACTGACTTAACAGGCTGATTATAAAATATTATAAATGGCTAGAGCTGAGAGAGGGTACATTGTGTGGATGGGTATTCTTTGTATATTTCTCTGTTTGAAACATTATATAATGAAAACAAAGTAAAAATGAAGGGTGTTTTTTTTTCCCCCCCTAAAAGTGATATGCTGCATGTCTTGAAGATTCATGAGTCTGGAGTTGTGGATGCCGGCTTGCACTGTTTTAATTATCCAGATAAGAGGTATAGAGTATTAACAGGAATGGAAAAGAAGAGTGTAATTCTAAGAGACATTTTAAAGCCAAAGTGGATAAATTTGGTGACTTAAAGGGAAAGGAAGAGAAAGAGGAATAAAAGTTTATAGGGGTCAGAAAGTAGAGGATTAGGGAAATGACATGATTGATTAAGTCAGGGAAATTAAAGGGCAAGCCAATTGGAGGGAGGAGAGAGTAGATTATGAATACTTTGGTTTGGAGTGATAGGTTCGCATCACAGAGGTCTTATAGCATCTGTGAATCCCTTTCAAAGGACTATGATGTGCATCTTTTCATGTGCTTATTAGCAATTTGTATATCTTCTTTGGTGAAATGTCTATTCAGATATTTTATTCACTTTTAAATTGGTTTATTAGTCATTTTATTAAGTTATAAAATTTTTCTTTATATTTCTATTGCATATGTTATTTTCAAATATTTTATATTTCATCTTTTCACTTTCTAAATGATGTATATATTTGTATTCTATCTATTATCTTGCCTTATATAATGTCAGAGAAAGCCTGTATTTGGCAGGCTTTGATGACTATATTAAAACCATTTTATGTGGCTGTGCTATCTAGACTTAGCTTGAATATTTCTAGGAATAGGAAACTCACTCCATCCTCAAGTAGCTCTTTTCCTTATATGATAGCTTCTGTTATCATAATTTTCTCATGTGGAACTGTAAAGTATGTTTTTTTGGTTATTCCCATAAAGTTTGACTTTTAAGATTTACATGGAGTAAAGTAAGTTATCTCTTCTATACGAAAGCAAGTTTTCTTTGCCAAGCTTACCACTCTCAGTCTTTTATGTCTCTTTACAATAATAGTAGATGAAAAATTGAGGCTTGCAGAGGTTCTTTCACTGTCACTTCTACAACTAATAAGTAAATACCAAATCAGATTTTTAAAAAATCTTTGTTGTTGAGATTATTGCTCAGATGCTAGACAGTCCAGTTTCTCCTTGTCTGTGTCTGGGTACCCCAGAGCTTTGCCTGGCACTGAGCTCAGAGGAAGCAGGAGTTTGTAAGTGCAGTTCATGCTTCCAGCCTTTTAATAGGAGCATCTGGGTCTCCAGCAGCCTGTGTGTCACTCAGCCCCAATCTGCACTGGTTTTTAAAGCCCGTAGTTCTTACTGCCCATAGGGACTTCTTTTCCCAGCTCTGGGACCCTGGGCTGGCTCTCTGGTGTGGGCCTGGGACCCCTTGCTCCTCCGGCAGCCTCCACAGAGACAGTCTCCATCCCAGTTAAAAAAAGTGGCACACATGGGTGCCGGACTAGCCTGTTCCGCACCTTCATACCTCCAGTCTCAGTGTGCTTTCTTCTTTATTTCTCTAGTTGCAGGACTTCCATTCAGCCAGTTTTCCGGTGGTTCTGGATGATGGTTGTTCTGTATTTTAGTTGTAATTTTGATGCGGTTGTTGGAGGCAGTGAGTTCAGGCGTTTGCCTATGCCACCATATTGGTTCTCCCTGCCAAATCTGAATTAAAATATATATATATATATTTTATTGATTTTTTTACAGAGAGGAAAGGAGAGAGATAGAGCCAGAAATGTCGATGAGAGAGGAACATAGACCAGCCACCTCCTGCACATCCCCCACCAGGGATGTGCCCGCAGCCAATGTACATGCCCCTGACCGGAATCGAACCCGGGACCTTTCAGTCCACAGACCGATGCTCTACCACTGAGCCAAACCGGTTTTGGCCAAATCAGAATTTAAACTGAAGTCTGTTTAACTCCAACTCTTCACTCTGCTGCCCTTGACTGGCATGAAATGCAGTGTGGCTATGTAATCTTTTATATTCTGGGTGTTCTGGTTCCAGTAGAATGTAGTCTAAGATTTAATTAATTTTTTGGTGGCAATATTATATTTGGCAGTATATCACTGGCTTATGTTAAGCTTATACTTAACTAAAATTTACAAATCTTATTAAGATCTTAAATATCTGAACTTCTGTCTGGTATGGCTTTTCCATATTATCTTATGTAATTAATTTTCAGTATAAATGCAGAACTTTGTTTTCATGTCTTTACCTACATGTTGGGGATCTCATCCTAAATTTCTGGGTTGCCAAGGTAATTTTGAATGTTGAGCCTATCATTTATGATGCCTAGTCTTCCTTCAGATATATGACCATGTGCCTCTTTGATAAGTATTCTCACTTTGTGTTTATCTAGTCTTTGATATAATGTTGAACAGATTAAGTTTAGATAAAAATCCATATGGAATATCTGTTTTCCCCCAAAATTGTCATAATGCACTTTTCTAAAGTCTAGGAAGTATGTTTGGCCATGCCCATTGTTTTCTTTTTTTAGTTTTATTAATATTAAGATTATATGGTCACTTTATTTCAAGGTTTTGGTTGAATGATGTTGAGCACTGCTTAAAGAACAAAATATTTCCACTGGTACCATCAACTTGGGCAGTCATTTTTATTTTTATTTTTTCGTTCCAAAGCCATTGGTGTCAGCAGTGAGCAGTAGCAGAGCAGCTTTTTTATTTTTTTATTTTTGCATTTTCTCCTAAAATTTTTTAGTTTGCTATGTAAAACTTGAAAGTTTGTAAATTTGTCATCCAAATTGCTATTGATAATATAACTTGTTTCTATGGTAATTAGCTGGATTATATTTTAACTTATAAAAGTAAAACAAATAACTTTAGGTCATGAAAGCTTCCTGGTAATTGCATCACCTTCTAGAAGAATGTTTATTTTTGAGGGAGGCTGTATTTTTGGAGAATACTTTTACTTTGAGTGTAAATCATACTGTACAAAAAGCAACCTATCACTGATGGGAAAATAACTGGGAGAGAGAAAGATATGAAAAGTTACTTCTCTTGCTTTCTTTAGTGACTCACAAAATACTTCTAAATTGAAAGGACAATTACTCAGTCAGAATGTATCCAGAGGTATATGAAAAAAATATCAGCAGAAATACTGAGTAGCTAACGCACAGAATGGCAGCTCTAGTTTGAACTGAGTAGGTTGGCTGGGAGGTAAACTTGAAAACAGGCCAGGAATCCTGAATACACATGCTGGAGCTATCACTTGGTCTATGGCATGAGATAGAGGAAATGACCTTCATAATCACTAATATTCAGACAAAGTTGTATTATTTTTTCCCATGGAGAGTGCTAAAAGATGTTAAGAAAAGGCCCCAGGAGGTAAATAAGTACTAGAGGTGAGCTTAGAAGAGGAATGGAGGAGTGAGAATCTTAAGTGAGGTTAGAGAGAGATAAGAAACAAAAAAATCTTCCAAGAATTTGGAAATGACCAGAGCAAACTTGCAGGATGCATCATGAAGTTGGAGATCCTCAGGTTTATTAATTTTGAATTTCTTAATTCTGATAAAAATACTGGTAGTTTATAAATTGTCATTTTGGGATAAAATAGGACTGTAGCATGTGTACGGTTTTTGTTCTATTGCTTTGTTTATTTAAAAATATTTTTATTGATTTCAGAGAGGAAGGGAGAGGGAGATAGAAACATCAATGATGAGAGAGAATCATTGATTGGTTGCCTCCTGCACATCCTCTACTGGGGATCGAGCCCACAACCCGGTTATGTACCCTTGACAGGAATAGAACCTGGGACCCTTCAGTGTGCAGGCCGAAGCTCTATCCACTGAGCCAAGCCAGCCAGAGCTGTTTGTTTATTTGTTTTGTTTTTCATTTGGGCTGATTGCCCCCCCCCCCCCTTTTTAAATTAAGTTATTATCTGTGTACATATTTTAACATTGCCCCTCCCTCTCTCCCCCCATACTGTTTTTTTTTGTAGACATTGTTCGGAGTGATGTTGCCTTGGATAAACAGAAAGGCTGCAAGATTGCCCAGCACCCTGATGTTATGTTGGAGCTCCAACGGGAGAAGGCAGCTCAGATGCATCTGGTTCTTCTAAAGGAGCAATTCTCCAATACTTACAGTAATCTCATATTAACAGGTAAGGCTATTGGAGCCGGCTGGAATCTTAGAGCACTGTAGATTGATGGCCTCCATCAGTTAGTAACTTGATGCTTGGGAGACACTAAAGTGGGATCCAGATGAGCCCACATCTGTCTGTCTTTACTCACTATATCCCTTTTTAAATTGTGATGACTCTTGTCTTCCTATAAAAAAACATTTCTTGTACTTTGCAGATGTATTTTGGCTTGAGGTTATGGGCGATTCAGCATGTGTGTTCTTAAAAGACAGAACCAGTGAAAACCTAATGAAGCCTTATAAAAATATTACTTTTTAGATGTGTGCCAGTAGATTTTAGAAAATTACTAAATTTGGTGTCTAAGAAGCAGCTATTTTCCTTTTTCTGTGTATGTCCTTTCTATGAACCCAGTGAATATAAAGATGAAATGCAAAAGAGATAATGGTGCACATGTAGAGCTGAGAATGTTCTGTTCGTGGTGGAGTTTGAAAATATCTGGGGAATGTGATTTTCTTCTTAAGAGCAAAGAGGCTATGAGACTGAGCGATACTCCCTTACATCCTTGGTTCTAGGGGGGAAGTGAATATGTGTGAAAACTCAAAGAAGAAATAACTTTTTGCAGGGTTGCCTGCACACTTTGCTGGTAAAGAACATGAGAATTGCACGTCTTTGTCAAATTTTGGAAAATATTCTAATAGCAGGCCCTGCCCTGGTAGCTCAGTTGGTTAGAGTGTTGTCCCAATACACCAAGGTTGTCGCTTCAATCCCCAATCAGGGCACAGACAAGAATCAAACCAATTAAAACGTAAATAAATGAAACAACAAAATGATGTTTCTCTATCTCTCTTTCTAAAAAAAAGAAATCAACAATAAAAAGATTCTAATAGCATTCACTAATGTGAGTATCCTGAAGGACTTGAGATGAACTAATCAGAGCAGTTCAAGTTACCTTCATTTTCTTGAGGGCATTCAAGGCAGATAGATCTGTATTATGTTTATTCAAATAAAATTTAACAAATTAAAAGTGTATTTTTCCTTGCTTATTAATACTAAAAAAATAAAAAGATGGGTTGGATTGTCTGACAGGCTGTGAACATCTCACATTTATTTTTGTAAAGTCTAAGTTAGGAAAATTTTAACTTTTTGTTTTTTTTGTTTTTTTGTTTTTTACAGACTTCCTGGAATTTTACCAGGAATTGCCAAGTGGCAACCAAATTGTTTTGTTTTGTAAAAAGTGCAAGTCTTTTTCAACTTTCCATTTTGTACCTGGTGGAAAACTCAATAGCATGATATAAAAGCCAGATTTAAATGTAGCTTTGGTGAGCAGAGAAGAGGATTATGGATTTCATAATTTATGCTCCGTATTTTGCTCTTTGATAGGTCGTTAAAGAAGGAAAACTTAAAAAGTGCTTTATAGCCAATGATGCATTTCCCTAAATTGGTTAGTGAAACTGTGTTTAGATGTTTGGGAAGAACATAGATTTCTCTCTAGATTTATTCAGTCTACCTCAAATGTACAAATGTGCATGTATTTAATGTTTTCCAATTCTGTTATTGAAAATGAAATATTTTTATTCTATCCTTATTCTGATATTTTAAGCACATATTAGAGAGGTCAGACCCCAAGTTCTTTTAATGTGGCATAGAGAGGGCTTAGGGTAATTCTAACCCTAAACTGTGGATCCAGAATGTGGCTCAAAGGCATATTATCTTTGAACACACACAAGTGTTCTATTGAGTTCAGTGGAATCTTTTCTAATTCTCAGTAACATAATCCCTTTCGATGTTTATTCACAGTTCAAACTGTTGGAATCAACATTGTCAACTTTTACCCTGACAACTTGCTTACTTTCCACTAAACAAACTTACCCTAGTGAAGAGCCTCTTTCCTGCTCTCACTTCTCCCAAGCTACTTCAAAGAGTCCTCAGGCATTTTCCACATTTTTCACCCAATGTCTGTGCAGAGGTGGTACCTTGCTACAGACAGAGCATTTGGTGTGCCCTGGTATGTTTACATGAAAGTTTAAAAGGTTTTGGTCCCAGGTGTTGGGAAGAGATGGAGTCATTTCAATTTAACAACAATGGTAAAACTATTTTAGTGTCCTTTAACTAAGTCTTTGATTTTACACAGCATGGTTTTCTAATTGTTATGAAGTTTAATCCTTGATTTCTTGTATAAATTTTGAGAACATGGTCTCCAGACAGCTAAACATAATATTTAAACATAACTAAACTAACTTTTGTAAATATTTCCCTTTTCAGTGATGAATGTATATTGGTAAGGAGGGTGAGGTTGAAGGGGCAGAGACCTCTCAGATGAAGTGACTTTCTTACCAACATGTTCAGAACACCTATTCTTGTAGCTCTGGTTGGTGATGTCCACTTATTTTGTGTAACTCTGGCATAATGTTTGAGTATTTATGTGGGAACAGGATAAGGAAGCTGGGTCTTCAAAGTCTCAGAAAGAGATAACTTTTCATATCTCTGCCCTCCCCTCAATACCTCTCCCAGTTATTTAAAGAATTTCATGTATATGGGTAGCAGTGTGTCATAATTGTTTCCTGGTAAGTTAATGGTATATTATTTATTTTTAAATTGAAGAACTAAGATCAAAGTATAAGAAAAAATTAATAAAGTGATTGAATTGTCACTATGGTAAGAAATTAATGAAGTTATTGAAATGCCAGATAAAAGCATGTTAAAAATATTAGTTGTTGCCCTCTTATCACAAGCAAGCCCCCATTCTTAGATGTTTTGTTTTTATTTGATATGACTAATAGCATTGAGGTGAGAGGCATGCTTTCATGTTCTCCATTTCAACTCATGATTTCTCTTAAGCAGACACCCCTCAAATGAGAGTAAATGATATTTTAGCTTTGATGATATTTTGACCATTTAATAAAAGGAAACAACTCTACAGTTCTAGTAACTATCCAGTTAATGGAAACTAATAATAATTCTTTAATGCACACATCTTATTGAAGTATTCCTTATTAATATTTTAATGTAAATTATTTTCACAGTATTGGAAATAATATTAGCCTCACCTAACATAGAGGGTTTGAAGTAAATTTTAAGGTTACAGGAAGGTGAAGGAGTACTTTTGATAGTACATCTATGATAGAAAAATTTTAAATGGTGATGAGTCATATACTACACTTATTATACTAACTCACCACACCTGATTGTGTGCTCATCTTGTGCTTCTTGAGTCTGAGAGTGTTTAATGTCACTCTTCAAAAAAGAACAGGGATCATGTCTTTCATTTCTTTGTGTTTGCATGATTCTTTTTTTTTTTTTCCTCACCAGAGGACATGCTCATTGATTTTAGAGAGAGAGAAAAAGGGAGGGAGGGAGAGAAACATTGATGTGAGAGAAGCATCAGTTGGTTGCCTCCTGACCAGGATCAAAACTGCACTATTTTAGTGTATGAAATGATGCTCCAACCAACTGAGCCACAGCAGGCAGGGCTCTTGTGATTTTTTAAAAATTGTATGTGCACGATCTCATGATTCTTAATCTAATAACAATGATCTATAAATTTGTTTAAAATGTTATGCTGTCTACATAATGGATGAATTCACTTGAAGACTTTTTAAAGGGATAATTTTGACATCAGTTAAATAGCTTTTATATGTTCAGATTCAGTTATTTGTCTTTCCTCACCTCACCCCCCTTTTGAGGTGTAAATCGAACTTTTGTGGAGGATCCCTATACTAGAATGAAATGAAAAACACAAAATAAGAGTTGAAAGTCAGTTTTTAAGGGCAATACATTTTCTAGGATTTTGTTTAGGACATAAACTCCTTGAAGGCCAGGAATAACTAGGCAGCCCAAACCATGGCCATTATAAATGGATGGCATTACTGAAGATGCACATAGTACCATGTGTGTTCCATTCTTCTAATTTCAACTAAGAAAAAGGACCCAAATCAGTGGAGTGAAAACTGTTCTTTCATTTCCCACAAACCATAATGTTCAAAAGACTATTTCCAGATATTTTAAATTATTTTCATTATATTCTATAGTATTGAATAGAACATAATTTTATGTAATCATTTCCTTATTAAGGTACATTAACTTCTATATATATATTGGCACATATATTTCTGTGGAGTAGACATCTCAAAGTGGATGTCTGAATCAAAAGATAAGTATTTTTAAATTTTATAAATTCAGGTTATTGAGGTATAATTTACATGCAGAAAAAATAAATTTTGACATATGTATAGACTATATAGTCACATAACCATGACCACCATCAAGATATACAAAATTCTGTCATTCTAAAAAGTTCTCTACCAAGCTGTAAAACCTAGAAGGAACTCTTACCTTTTTCAACAGCATGGATGGACCTGGAGGTTATTATGCAAAGTGAAATAAGCCAGTCACAGAAAGATGAATATCACGTGATCTCACTTATGTATGGAATCTAATGAACAAAATAAACTGATGAACAGAATAGAAACAGCAGCATGAATACAGAGAACAGATTGACAGCTGTCAGAGGGGATAGGAGAGGGGGCACTGGATGAAAGAAGATGAAGGGACTAGGCAAAGGACATATATGCATAACCCATAGACACAGACAGCAGTGTGGTGATGAACAGAGAGAGGTGGGGGTGAGGGGCTAGGTGGAGGTGAGTAAAGGCGGGGACAGAAGTGGGGACAACTGTTACAGGGTCACTAATAAAAAGAAAAAGGAAAGAAAAAAGTTCTCTTATTTTCCTGTGCAATTAATCTCCTTTTCTTACCTCCAGTCCTTTAGGTGTGTGTGATCTGATCTCTGACCTTAAATGTAATGTAAAAAAGTAGTTGTGTGTGTATGATTTCTTTCACTTCTTGACTATATTTTTTTGAGATTCATTCATCTTGTTGCATATATCAATCAGCATATCATTCCTTTTCATTGCTGAGTAATATTTATGTTATGAATATTCTACAATTTATTCATATGTTGATGAACATTTGGTTTATTCCTACTTTTAGTGATTAAGAATGAACCCAGTGTAAATATTTGT